AGAGTTCACTCTCGTGAGATCAGAGCGTTGCCATGGTAACCACAGCAATGCTCCGACCACGCGAGAGGAAACCGGCGGAGCTGCAAGCCAGAGCTCCCCGGGTCCTCTCCTGTCTCCCTCCCCAGCCAGCGGCCGCCTTTCACTGCCCGAGGGCCGGTGAGGGAGATCTTTGATCTCCCCACCAGCCCATGAAGGCACAAAGCAGGGCAAGTGGTTGGATAGCTGCTTTAGAGACACAAGGGATGCAGTAGATATTAACTCCTGTCACTCTCAGGCTTTGCCTGGCTGGGAATGTTAACATGGATAGTTCACAAAACTCTAACAGGATTCTTTACAAAACTAAGAATTCAAACTGAGTTCAAATTGAAGGCCTGAGTAACCAAACTGAAAGCTTAGCTGACTTTTTCCATTTTGGCTACTTATTATTTATGTATTATTATTAGGTCAGGAAATGGTGCAACTATGCTAGATTGCATTCTAATGACTCCAAAATGATTCCAAGCTTTGAATGCATCTTTTTTGATGGCGATATTCTAAAAATATAAAAATGTATCTAAATTAAATGGATTTCTAAAACTGACATGGCAGGGAATTCCTGGAATGAGAGTGAGGCATCTTGAATCCCTGTATTAATTTGCATTTCTAGTTTGGCTAGTTCTTCAGTATCTAATTACATAGAGGATACTTTTTATCTTGGTCTACCACCATTTTAAACTGTTATATGTGAGAACTCTGAATGAACAACACTGGCACACCCAATAATTGTACCTTAGGACACCTTGCACTCGGAAAATCAGATGGTGCAGAACAGGTGCACATCCTGCTTAGGGTGTGGTGACGAAAGGCGATAGTGTAAATAGAAATATACATATGAACACATTTCTTTTTCAAGCTCTACCAGAATGAAATCTCTCCAGAACTGGTCTTCCTTTTGCTTTCCGATATAAGTAGCGTCTTTCAAGGGCTTATTCACTAAACTGTGCTGGACTGAAATCCACTTGGAAGGCAAACATCTCTAACGCTGCTATAGACAGAACTTGTTATTTTAGTCTCACTGTTGCCATTCAGACTTCAAGTCGCTACAATCTGGCATTTAGAAAAGAAAGCTCTAAATGTATAGTAGAAATGTATTTGATGTCACTTGCAGAATTAAAGAACCAAATCAAATTAAAATATTGTGTCATATTTTGAAATCCTTTACTTTATTCCTTTGGTATTAAATACAGCTCCAAATGTAATGCAGAGGTTGAGCCAAATGGCTGTTGCTGAAACATCTTTGGGTTTTCAAAAACAAGAATGTGCTTTTTTAGCCATTTACCCCATTCCAACAAACAATAGCCATTACAATGGACAGATAATGGAAGAACCAAGGGACAAGATCCTGGAAATCTATCGTATACCTGACAAATGCATCCTATAGGACAGTGGTTCCCAAACCAGTCCTCAAGTACCCCCTAACAGTCCAGGATTTAGGGATTACCCAGTTGTATCTATGGTGTTTTTAGAAAAAACAAACTATTTAGACCAGTGGTTCCCAAACCTTGTAGGTTCAAGGTGCCCTTAATATTTCAATATTTTTTCAAGGCACCCCAAGTAAAAATTTCTAGGCTGTATATCTGTCCAGTGCATTGTGTATTGGCGCTATAGTGTAATGTACAGTGTTGGTGTTTGAAAGGGTGCTTGTATATAGTTATTGTGTTTTAATACAGGGGTGTGTTTGTATGTAATGTTTGAGTTTGATTGCAGGGGTGTGTATGAATGTAATGTTCACTTTTTAATGCGGATGTACATTTGTGTAAAGTATTTGTGTTTGAGTGAAGGGGTGTATTTGTATATTGTTTTTGGAGGTTGAATGCAGGGGTGTGTTTGTATGCAATATTTGTGTTAGATTGCAGGAGTGTGCTTGTATGTAATACTTGTGTTAGATTGCAGGAGTGTGTTTTTATGTTGTGCTGGTGTTTGACTACTTGGATGTATGCACACACACTACCACATACATACATGCATACTTACACAGATATACATGCTCATTAACACACAGATACATACATACACACCGACATATACACACACCTTTACACACGCATACACCGACATATACACACACGCACCCTGACACATACAAACATTGTTACATGCACACACCCTGACAAACAGATGCACATACAGACGTGTGCACACACACTGACAGAAGCACACTGACATACATGCACACACACACACTCATACGCACACATACGTACACACACACACACTAACATACACACTCATATATACACACATAAACACACAAATATACATACTCATACACACACTCACACAAGAGATTTTTTTTTATATCTCCATACACCCTCCAGTTAGCTTACCTTGTATGTCCAGGAGGGTGGCTTGGAGTCCTGTTGGCTGCTGCGTGTGAGGGGTATTCTGGACTGGTAAGGGGTTACTTGAGGACTGGGTTGGAAACTACTGGGTAACTTAACCCTGCAAGGTAATTATTGCAGTTTATAAAAACTGCAATAATTTTATGGCAAGACAGGAGGCTTCATATTTGCTTATCTTTCTTTACTGAAACTCCCAGCAGCAAAGAAATAGTTAATAAAGTTGTAAAAAATTCAACCAATCATAACACAACAATCATAACACAACATAGAGCAATATAGTGCCACCAGACTCCTCTCACTTCCTCTTTCTTTGCTGCTTGCCTCCCAGGTGAGTCTATTCTATTCTATTCCAATTACGTTGCCTAGTTTCAGTACTTAAATTTCAAATTCTCTAAGATTATTTGATGATTTTTTATCTGTTTTCCTATGAGATAGCTCAATAATAGTTTTAGTTTGCCTCAGGTTAATTTTCCTTTAACACCTTTTGTTAATTTAATATGTCTTTTACAAGTGTCTTTTATTTTCCTTTTCAGTGGAATATGTCCTCTTTTATTATTCTGCTCTTAAGTAGCTTACACCTTTAATTAACAAGTGTAAGCAGTTTTCGGCCGCACACAGCATCTGCCCGCCGTTTTTTTTTTTCCTCCCCTCCTCCCCTCCTGTCAGGAAACTACCTAGTGAGGGACTCCATTTCCCAGGAGACCATTGGTCTCCTGCTACAGCCTTCGCGCCCTTTCTCCTCACTGGTTTCCCGTCTATACGGCAGCTCCGCCCCTTCGTCTTGCGGCGGCCATCTTTAATCGCGGCACTCGCGTTTTTTCGCTCCGCGGCGTTTTCCCCTCATCTGTGGGCACTATTGTTACTTACCCGGAAGGTAAGTTAATTGGTTATACCATTTATTATCCATATGACAAGTTTTGCCTTTTTAAGATCAGCACACTGATCTTTCTCTCTCCTTATCATTGCAGGTTTATTTTGCTCAGCAAGTCCTGCCTGCTAAACTATTGGGTGACCCCCTTTATGTTAAAGTGATAATTCACTGTACCACTTTCTTTATTAAAATTGTGTGGCTGACACCACCTTCTGTTTCATTTGTGGGTGACTCCCACCACAACTACTGCCAACAATATTTTGCGTGGCTGACACCACCCTGCTTATTTTGTGGGTGATCCCCACTTTCTTTTATTACTTAACTCCACCATAACTACTGCTTAAAAAAAAAAAAATTGGCAGATACCACTTTGTTATTTAAAATAGTGGGTGACCCCCACTTTGGTTTGACAGGGTCCTCTATAGTGGGCAACCCTACCTCGTTGGGCTTACTTATCTGAATATATATATATACGTTTTATTGCTGTTCACCATTTGTTAAAGGGTGACCCCCTTTCTTTATTGTGCCTAATAATTGTGGGTGACCCCCACTGGTTTCAGTTTGTGTGGGTGACCCCCACCTTTCCATTATACTAGTTGAGTTGCCTAATTTTTTGTCACTTATCAACACTGCCTTATAATTTTACTACACTTACCTGTAGTTACTAATCTGCCCTTTGTCAATCCCATAATTTAAACATTAAAAATGTCGGAACACCAAGACCCTGCTATTTCTGCAGAACTTCGGGATTGGCTATTTGCCACCATTGCAGAGTCCATTCCCAAAGCTCTGGCATCTTATCATGAGCAATCTACCACAGAGGTTCATCCCTCCACACGCCAACCCTCTGACTCAGAGGATTCTCACCTTTCAAACCAAGAAAGTGCCCCGCGCAAAAGACCCTGGAAAGGGAATAGCGCTACTGCAGGCAAAGGCAAAGCTCCTGCGAAAATCTTCAAACTTTCTCAAACATTTACTATGCAGAACCCGTCAGACCCTCTAGAGGGCTCTACTTCCAGACTAACTGGTCATATTTTAACCGACTATGACACCACCTACTCTGATGAGGATCCTACGGTGAATTTGCCCCAGGATTTCTCAACATCAGAGTTTATTAAGGAAACCTTTCATGTTCAAGATGCTAAAGGTGCCCCTCCAACTAAAGAGCCTGCTTCAGACACCCTCCTGGATGCTTCAGGCCTTCCCATTTTTGATCCAAGGGTGATTCGTCACCCACGGTCTGCAGAATGGACCCCTCCTGATCACATTGCCAGTTACTGCAAAATGTGGCTTTGCAAGCCCCTCGAAAAAGAACTCAGAAATAAATTGAGGGCTGAATGCCCAAGACCTACTATTCCTGGCAAAGTTCCCTCTACCCCTGAATTCGACCCCATGCTGGTCACCTTTTTGACTAAATATGGCAAAAACCCTCGTAAGGGTATAGAGCAAGGGTTAAAAGCAGCCCAAGACAAGCTTTTGGACATTTCAGGTCACATACTCCAGATTTTTATCCTGGCAGATGAGGCACTCACTAGTGGTGAATTCGATCCACATGCTATCAGAGAATGGGCTAAAAGAGCTCTTTGCTTATTAAGCAATGCAAACGTGGCAATTTCAATAGAAAGACGAAAAGCGGCACTTTATAAAATTGACGCTAAATTAGTAGACTTAAGCTCTAAGGAATTGGGACCAGACGCAGATGGTCTTCTATTTGGTGACAGCTTTATGCGAGACCTCTTTAAGCATGTCTCTGTATTTACAACGCTTAATAAAGCCCAGTCCTCACTACGCAGGGTCTTCCGCTCCCAAACTCATCGTTTTTCCGGGAGAGCTGGTCGCTTCAGGGGCCGAGCAACCAGTAGAGCAGCCTTTGCAGGCTACAGGCCCCGACCCACAGATCATTGGTCCTCTGGACCCACAAGACCCTACCACAGACAGCTCTTCAGCTCCAGAGGCTCTATTCGAGGACGTGGCTCTGCATCCCTGCGCGGACGCACTGCTTCAGGTAATGGACCTTACTTATTTAAAAAATTTGTCAATTGCAGGTCGATTAACCCTTTTTTTCCAACAGTGGAAACTACTCTCTCAGGATCACTGGATCCCCCATCCAGTCAGGGGTTTCAAAATAGATTTTCTCACACACCCCATTCAGAGCCACCCTCCAACACCCTTAGGGATGTCACAAACAGACAAACTAACCTTAGATTCAGAGTTGCACAAACTATTAGACAAAGGGGCGATCGAACCCTCGCCTTTCCCTTACACTTTCATCAGCAACATGTTCCTGGTACGGAAAAGACGGGAGATCACCGTCCTATTATCAACCTCAAAGAACTGAATCAGTTCATCACATATCGCCATTTCAAGATGGAAGGTATCCATCTTCGCAGGGACCTACTCTGCGTGGGAGACTGGTTCTCCAGATTCGACCTCAAGGATGCTTACCTCACGGTCCCAATCGCACCAAGTCATTGTGCGTTCCTTCAATTCCTCTGGTAGTGCGAAATTTGGCAGTTCACCTGCCTTCCTTTCGGACTTTGCTCCGCCCCTTGGTGTTTCACCAAGTTAATGAAGCCGGTCATGGCACTACTCCGCTCTCGGGGAATACGTTCCATCATATATCTGGACGATATTCTGATCATGGCCCAAGACCAACATTTGCTTCGCAAACATACGCACATGACCTCTGCTCTCCTTCAAAACCTTGGCTTTGTCATAAACTTCCAGAAATCAGACCTGGAACCATCTCAGGTAGTCCAGTTTCTGGGCTTTCAAATAGACTCAGTCCAGGCAACTTTGCAGCTGCCTTACCCCAAAATAAAAAACATAAAGAAAGAAATCCAAAAGTTGCTTTCTTCGCAACAGCCTCGGCTCCGCGACCTTGCACACATTCTGGGTCTCCTGTCCGCATCAATTCAAGCTATATTTCCCGGGCCTTTACACTACAGAGCGATGCAACGGTTGAAAACAACCTACTTGCATCGCTCAACCTCTTACGATCAATTCATTTCTCTGACGGACGAAGTTATCATCGAACTTCATTGGTGGCTTCGCAACATGGAAGCCTGGAATGGGAAAGCGATTTTCGGGTCTCAACCAGATTTTATTCTGGAATCCGATGCGAGCCTCTTGGGTTGGGGTGCTACGTGTGCCCAAACCTCCACAGGAGGTCTGTGGTCCCCATCGGAACCGGCTCTCCACATAAATTGTCTCGAGCTCATTGCTGGATCCTTCGCGATCCGCAGCTTTGCCAAGGACGCCTCCAATTGCTCCCTGGTACTACGGATGGACAATGTCTCCGCAGTGCGGTATGTCAACCGACTCGGAGGATCCAAATCCAAACTTCTCTCCGACCTCACCAAGGACCTGTACCAGTTCTGTCTGGACCGAAATCTGTCCATCCGAGCGGAGTATCTCCCTGGGTCCGACAACCGAGTCACGGACTGGTTTTCGCGTCATTGGAGGGATGCCAGCGACTGGCAATTAGACCCTCTCCTGTTCCATCACATCCACTTCCTACAGGGACCTCTCACACTCGACCTATTTGCATCTCGCCTGAATCGTCAGACAGACGATTTCTTCAGCTGGCTACCAGACCCTCTATCTCTGGCAGTCGACACTTTTTCTGCAACCTTGGCCACGGGAGGGAGCCTATGCTTTCCCTCCCTTCTCGATGATTCAACGGACCCTTCACCGGGTCAAAGAGCAGAAAGTCAGGGTAGTAATAATCACCCCTCTATGGAGGGCCCAGACCTGGTTCCCTACCCTCCTGGAACTATCAGTAGACTATCCCATCCTTCTTCCTCGCTCCTTTCGAGTCCTCAGGAACCCAATGGGCGATTACCATCCTCTTGCCCTACAGGGCCATCTTCAACTGGTAGCTTGGACAGTTTCAGGGGAGCTTGGCATGTCACAGGTCTTTCACGCACAGCTCAAACACTCCTCTGGGACTCGTGGGCTCCAGGAACCAGACAAACCTACCTCTCCGCTTGGCGGAGTTGGGTTAGCTGGTGTCTGGAGAGGGACCTCGATCCCGTTTCAACACCTCTCTCTCCCATTTTAAACTTCTTATCATCGCTCTTCGATCAGGGTAAATCTTACCGATCGATTAATATTTTTTGTTCCGCCATTTCGGCGGCCCATGACACTATTGTCAATTTCTTGGTTGGGAAACACCCTTCCGTGTGCAGACTTTTACGGGGCATTCATTTGACGAGGCCACCTTCTGCCAAACACTCTACATTCTGGGATGTCTCTCAGGTTTTCACACTGTTGGATTCCTGGCCACCTAACAAGGCCTTATCCTTACGCCAACTCTCTGCGAAATTGGCCTTGCTACTGTGTCTGGTGTCCTTCCGCAGAGTTTCAGACGTTCACGCTTTTGACTCTCACGCTGTCACCTTTGCACCAGACGGTGTCAGATTTACCATTACTAGACGCACTAAGACAAATTCTTCGTCAGTCTTTTATCCATACTTTCCCGATAGGCCGTCACTCTGTGTGGCCCTGTGCACCCGTTGTTACATTGACAACACTATCTCTTTGCGTCCCCCTACCGGACCTCTGTTTGTCTCTTACGTTAAACCTCACAAACCGGTCTCCTCCCCCACCATTGCACGCTGGGTGAGATGGTTGCTTACCCAAGCAGGAATTGATAGCTCTTTCGGAGCTCACTCCGTTAGGGGAGCGGCAGCATCCTCCGCGTTCCGCGCAGGCAGCTCACTGGCGGATATTTTAGCCTCCGCAATTTGCAGATTTTTACCTCCCTCCTCTGCTTTCATACCTTTTTGGTGCAGAGATGTGGCTTTCTTGGGGTCCAGTGGCATCTGGCTGGGTCTAATGGGTGTCAGATCCAAGCTCTCCCTCCCTTCTAGTCCTCCTCCCTCTCGTTCTCCCACGTGGCTCATTGGTAAGCAGGGAGGAATTGACTTGTACTCACTTCCTTCAGGCACAGCAGCTTTATATAGCCTAGGGAGCCCGATCGCGCTGTTAAAGGGCCTCTGACAGTGCCCCTGATCAAAGATGGCCATCGGGTGGCCTGAAGTGCATCGGGAGGTCGTTTTGCCACTTTGCGGTGTGGCACCTCCCTGATTTTTGTGCCTGGTGCAGCCGCACCACCTGCCCTCCCCAATTACGTTACTGCATTATGTCATATTTATTTTTCAAATATTCTTTACTACCTTTAAACAGGCTTGTCCTTCAATATGGGATTAATGTAAATATCAGTGTCTACACATTTTACTTGAAATTTAAATACACAGAAATTACTTTCTCTGGTATTTAGGAATATTTTTAGACCTGCAGGGGTGCTTCTCTGTAAAATGTTGAGAAACACTGATTAGGGATCTGGAGTGTTCTTTTAAGGTGACTACCTAACTTGATCTTGGTAGTAATCTGCTGTTTGTACTAGTTCTGATGTTTTTTTTTCTGAGATGAGATTAGCTGAAGCTATACACATAACTAGAAAGAGTGATGACTGCATAATCAGATTAGGCGAGCTGTGGAAAGAGATCAAGATGGAAAAAACAAAAGCTAAGGCTTAATACTGCTACCGTTGTATACAGTGTAAACATATTAAAGGACCACTATAGGCACCCAGACCACTTCAGCTTAATAAGGTGGTCTGGGTGCCAGGTCCATCTAGGGTTAACCCTGCCTGCTGTAAACATAGCAGTTTCAGAGAAACTGCAATGTTTACACTGAGGGTTAATCCAGCCTCTAGTCATTGACAGCCGCTAGAGGCGCTTCTGCGCTTCTCACTGACTGAATGCGCGCACGGCTCTTGCCACACATGCGCATTCAGCCGATGATGTCCAAAGGAGGAGGAGAGTACCCAGCGCCATGGGAGCCCGGCGCTGGAGAAAGGTAAGTGTTTAACCCCTTCCTCCAACTTCAGCCCAGCGGGAGGGGGGCCATGAGGGTGGGGGCACCCTCAGGGCACTATAGTGCCAGGAAAATGAGTTTGTTTTCCTGGCACTATAGTGGTCCTTTAAGGACCAATTCAGGCCAGCCATGTTGTGATACTATGTGATTTTCCTTATTCTTGGTCGTTTTGAGAGGTTAAAATGATTGTTTGTCTCAGAGGAGCAATGTATTCAAGTAATTTACATAATCTTTGAAATGGTTTAACAAAGACCCCATTGGGGGTAGAAATGCAGGGTCCACGCTGACAGGGTTATTCACGAATGTGAGAATTTCTAGAATTTAAAGTGGATTAAAAAAATTAGACCAAAGTAGTCAAATCAGAAAAATCCTCCAAGTCAGTTCTATTTTCAGTTTGTGTACTTTTCCTTAAACTTTTAATTAACTTTGGATTCTTAACAGATCTTACTTTAATGAATAACCTTGTTGGTATAATAGAGAGCATGTTTACATGCTGTTGCAGATCCATCATTCATAGACAATAACTGCATAAATCTGAATAACACTATTCACTTATAGTTGATGGGCTACAAGGACTACAATTACCAACATTCAGAAACAACTAGTGTATGATTGCTATAGTTAATAACTGGAGGGCCGCCGGTGTCCACTAGTGTATAGGCCATGACTATCTTCTAAAAGCTCTACCTTATGGTTTTTACAGAGAGACCTGCAGCCTTTGCAAGCTGTTTTTATCTCCCAATGAAACACGCATAATTATAATGTTTTAATGGGGGTATATAAACTAAACAGTAATTTTTATTTAATTATTTAGGGAGTGGGGCTTTACTTCAACAATATTATTCACAATTCATCTGGGAACTATGCAGATCTCAGACTGTAAAATTACAACAAATCACAAAGATTCTGTGTACCATTTCACCATGGTGGTTAAGTAATTCTAATACTGAGCCTCAAGAAGACCATTACTTGTCAGGACTTAAACATAACTTTAATTGCTTGGAGGAAAGACGAAACGGGGGATATGATAGAAACATTTAACCCCTTAGCGACCGAGGACGGTTCAGGACCGTCATCG